TAATGGCAGAGATTAGGGATTAATAAAGTACAACCATAACGACAATGATATAAACATAAATCTACTTTATAGCAATATATTTGGGGGCGGGGGACATTTTGAGCATATTTGAATATTGGGGGGGATGTGTCCCCCTCAATATATATTATAATTACGACCTTGCACTAATGTCCACACATATCTAGGCCAAACCTAGAATGTTCGACAGCCTGATACCTCGCCGCCATTCTGCAGTCTGTCTTGCCTGGCCAATGTGGACCATCATAAATAAATATCTGATGCTATCTTTTACTGGGATCACAAACAATTGGCCGGTGGGTGGAAACTTAAGAAAAGCCTTGAAAAAAGTAACGTGGTTTGACCAGAATTTGAACACGTGGAGACAGCACGCACATCATGTGAGCTGAGCACTTTACCACGTGCAGAATGGCTGACTGGGAGAAACCCAAGGTAAACTGGCAGGCATCATCTGACCTACCCAAAGAATGGACGAGAGTCCAACACCAGCAACTGTGGCTTCACGTTCAAGGGGCCGCTCAGCAGCAAGTCCAGAGGTCAAGAGGGTACATTTTTATGAAGGGCATTGGCGATAGAGGCTGGGAGATTTACAATAATTGTTTTCGGGGAAACCCTGCGACCGAAACAATAAACCCTTCCGAAAACAAAACTGTGGCAGCATGTGTAAAAAAAAAGGACACCAATTACGTAGGGCCAAAGAAGAATGAAATCAAAGCCACGCTTAACTTCGATCGCAAAAAACAGCGAGACCAAGGCGAAAGGTTTGACAACTTTGTGACACCGCTGCAGCTGCTTTGTGAAAGACTGTGGGTTTGGCGATCTCCAAGACCGGACACGATAGATCTGCGGTCCTCTGCACGCACAAGTTAGAGAGACATGTCTCGAGGCAGATGACCTGCCCACGCGAGACAAGGCCATCAGCATTGGTCGCGCGTTTCCAAGTGTCTTGAGAGATCGTGGAAGATGATAACGGCAGAGGAGGGTGCGAGTGTCAACGCGCTATGGTGGGATGGTGGAGGTGAAGATGGCAAGCCGCATGTCAATACGTGGCACCAGTGGCGTAGCTACGATATTTTGCGCCCGGGGACGAACTATAAAATTGGCGCCCCCCCCGTTGAATCACATACCAAAATGTAATTACATGACATGTAGGCTGTGTGTGGCGGGATATATAAACTTTTAGGTTGAGGTGTAGATTTGTGCAGTAGTTTCAGGCTGCCACGCCCGCCACAATAAGTTATAATGTCACGTTGTAAGCCTCATTTTGGCGCCCCTTTACCTTGGCGCCCGGGGACACATGTACCCCCCTGCCCCCCCCCCCCCCTAGCTACGCCTCTGCCTGGTGGCACTCAAGTCGTTTTCGACATGGGAAAGCTCCCAAGAGCCTCGCTGGGAAGAAGGGCCGGGCTTCCACCATTGATGACGTGCAACAGATGTGGTTGCTCTTCGTCATGTGACAAGTGTCCAGCCAACGAGGGCAAAAGGCAACATCTAACAGTGCAGTGTGCTAAACACAGCGCCACCGCTCCCCCCACAAACCGAATTCGCATGAAGCGAGGGAAAGCTGTATAAAATCAGTTTAAAGTTGTGACTACTGTAATTTTATTTAACCTTGTTTATTATAATTGTCTTATTAAACAAAAAAAACAGGAGAGACATAATAATATATGCTATGTAAACGAGGGGGCAGAGCCAGAGGAGAGAGAGTTTGTTGTCCTATCCCTCGCACCTCCGATTAGCACGGTTGGCTGCGTACGGTGCGAAAGAAGTTCAACATACATACAGAGCGGGAGAGGTGTCAATGCAAGTGTAGTGTCGTCTGTGCGTGCGGGTGGCGTGTGCGTCGCACACACAGCCGGAAACGAGGTGGTCGCAGGGAGCACCGCTCTGCCTTCTTTATTCGTTGTTGCTGAGCTCACGCCACCACTTGAGCCCCCTCTTTCGCCCACACGAGACCCCGTTGCGGTACGACCCGTCCCAGACACGACCCTGTCCGCGTTGCACCGACGGCGTCGACCGGGACAGCCAACTACTGTCCGGTCGCGTGATGATCGGGCGAAGGCGGCGGCGATGACGGCGGCGACGACGACAGCGACGACGAGACGAGTCCACTCCCAGAACCGGCAGCCCAGAGCTCTCGCTATCCGCTGCTTTTATTCCCCTCGGCGTGGCTTGGCTCTGCCCTAGCCGCGCCTCCCTTCTCGAACCCTCTAGAGCCGCGGTCCCTAACTTTTTTGGCACCAGGGACTGGTTTCGTGGAAGACAATTTTTTCACGGACCGGGGGGAGGGGGGGGGTCATCATTGGGTCTTTCCCCCGTTTTAAAGAAGCTCTCCAGCGACGTTTATTTTTTACTCATTTTGGCCAGGGTTAGCTTGTGGGCTTACCAAAATAATGGGCGGGCCACGCGCGGACAGAAATCTGAAAAAAAAGCTAAATAATAAATGCACTGAAATCAATAATGCACTTGTAGATGTACGGTATTATGTAAATAAGAAAACAAATTTGTTTCTTCACTGTTTCTTTTATTTTGTCAGTTTTCTTTCATTTTAATGTAAAATCTTTAACTTTGAATATAAATTGTCTTTTTTACGATATCAATGGTACGTTGTGAAGCATTTATAGTAAGAAATGGTCAGTTACGAAGGCTGTCGAACGCATCCTCACAGAACTAATGTTATAAGTGATTCGATATACAACGTTTCAATGTTACGAACGAAGCTCCATGGAAGTCGTCTACTTCATATGTCGAGCTATGACCAGACAGGCGTCCCTCGCAGTTACGCGCAAGAAAGACAAAAACAATTGTAAAATGTTATTTTTTCAAAATAAAAAAATATTTTCAATTATAGATTTTATTACAAATAACAATGATCAATCTGATACCGTCACCACGCCATGGCAACGCCCAGTGTCTATGTGGTGCCACAGCGACGGGGCCGCTCTGCCGAGCCAGGGAGCCGCCCGGCTTCCCCCACCGCACTGCCCCCCATCACCCGCCCCACATAAGCACACACCCGCACGCATCCCCCCCCCCCTCCCCCATAGAGCTGGAAGGGAAGGTTACCTGATCGACCGGTTTTTATCCGAGAGACCCTTATCGGGATTAATTCTCACGGTTTCCGGCGATCAGGGAATTGGATGACCTCCCCCGTGCTACGTGGTACCGCGGCGCTGCTGCCGGCCTTAATATGGTGTGGTCGCGGCGTGGGGCATTCGGCCACCGCGGTTGAGGCGCATTTCCCCCCACACACACCCCCACGAGTCGACGGGGCAAGCAGGGGAGGCACGAGACAGCATGAATAGCGGGGTCACAGGGGCTGTTGCGCATAGTCATGGGGGGTTGGGATAATTGCGCTTGAGCGCGCAGGCCCCATTGTTAGGAAGGGTAAGGGAGTAATTAGGATGTACGCCGCCAACGTCGCTCACTGATTAGCATATCAACAGCGCCTGGGGACTGCCGTGCGCGGGCTTGGGGTGCACGAGCCCATTGTTCAGCGCAGCATCCCCTTTGGAGGTAGGGAGGATAAATAGAGGAGCGCAGAGGGGAAATCGCTCTCTTACTCCAGCGCCAGGCGACCAGACGCAGCTCGAGCCAGCGACCCGGACGTCCGTGCGACGCACCGAGGCACGCGGTTAACACCGGGATCAGCGGACCGCCGTGGACACTTAACAGTGAGTAAGAAGGTGAATTAGAATCATAGCCGATAAATAGGGAATAGGTGCCGGTTTAGTGGAATAGGCCAGCCTCGTCGACTCACTGATTGAACATTAGTTACCAGGTAATAAATCATTAATAGCGAAGCGTGGTCTCGCGTGATCTTGTCGTGCAGTGTGAGCGTGTGGGAACGCGTGTGGTACTGTGTGTGCGTAAGCTCGCGGCGTGCGTAATAGGCGTACCCCAGGTGCGCGATCATAACGTAAGCGGCCAGCAGACGGCGAGCGCTGCGCAGAGCGGCGCAAGAGGGGTATCGCGTGTGGAGCTGTATGCGTGTGTGCGCGCACGTTCACTACGTGTATGATACAGGTGCGCGATCGTAACGCGAGTGGTCAGTGTTGAGTGAGTGCCGTGCAGAGCTGTGTGTGTGGGTGTGCGCGTACGTAATTAACCATGCCTGCTACGCGGACCCGCGGTGGAGGGGAATCCTCGGGCGACGGCTCCCACACCATGGGTGAGGAACTCAGCAGCGGTTCGCTTAGCAGCAGGGGGGCGATTGATGATGCTAGCCCGGCCGTTAGCATTATCGAGGGAGGGATTTCGGGGGCTAGCGACCCCCACATCTACAGTCTGGGCTTAGCCATCTTAATAAGTGATCTTTAATAGCAGTAATCTTTTTAACATGAATTGTTATTATTTGTTATTAAATTCCTTTTTTATGTTAACATCATGTTTTACTTTCTAATTATTCGTGATTAAACTTTCTTAAGTAGTTTCTTGTAACGTTAACATTATGACGTATTACATTTGAATTATTGTTATTGAACTCCTTATTAAGTATTTTCTTGGAACGTAAACATTATTACGTAATATATTTGAATCATGTTTTTTTTGTTTCAATAATGATTTTTTGTTATCAAACTCCTTAATGGCATTTTTTTTATAACGTTAACATTATTATGCATTACATTTTATAGTGTTTGATGAATGCAGGGCTAAAATAATAACATTTAATTCTACTTTTCTTTGGTAATGCCCTCCCCCCCCCCCCCGCGCCGTTTATAGTCGGCTTCGCACAACGCTGTAAGAGGGTACGAATATAGCGCCGTTCGATGTACGTGCTGTTCTTTGGGAACGCAACTTCCATCTCGCGCGCTAAGCGAAGAACGCCCAGGTGTGCGTGCGTGTGTGTACCTGTCGATAAACGGCCGCTTCCAGCATGAAACTCGTTGGACCAGTTCACTGTGTGTGTGTGTTGTGTTGCCAACGTGAGCTTTGGACGTGGTGCGTAGGTGAAAGCAGAGGCGGAGTCTTGGCCAGGAAATGCGTGCGAATCGACAAACTGCTCCTGGCGCATTTTGTGCGTGTACGTGGTTGTGTCACCACCCTCCCGGTAAGTGTCTCAACACCTACAACTTATCTGCTGCTGCTGCTGTTGTAAATTTCAAGTAGTCATGGTGGGGAGGGGGAGGGGAAGGAAGTGGTTTTGTGTGGTTAAAAGCAAAGGTTGTTTTTTTTTCAGACGTCTTCCGCGAAGCAGCCGGAGCCGGAATCGCATTCGTCGTGTCGGTTAGTCGCTTCGCACTTAAATCGCAGCCGCTTTGGAGCAGATCGTACGTTGCGTCTTCATTTTTTATGTTTTCACTTTGTGGTTTATGATGAGGACGATGGTCATCGTGGTTGGGATGCAGTCGTTTGAATTCATGCGCGCGCGTTTTCATTTAAGTGCATTTAAAACAACGCGCTATTCTGTACATTATATGGCGCGTGGCAGCGTGCATATGTTGGGGGAGCTAAGTGGCAATGTTTGAGAACCGCTTTTTGCGTTTAGTTTGTTGTTGTCCTTCCCCCCGCACCTCCGATTAGCACGGTTGACTGCGTCCGGTGGGAAATAAGTTCAACATGCAGAGAACACGCAGGCCGCCCAGGACGAGATGGCTTTGTGAGTTAAGAGTTCGTAGGAGTATTTTTGCTGCTTTTCCTTCGCCTTTGGAAGGAGCGTCATCGACAGCGGTTTACGATATGGGATGTAGTGTGTGGATTGCGTGGCCGCATTCGCATTTGAGGTTTGTGTTTAATGTGTATCTCGACGAGTCTATATGGATCCCCGTGTTTATCTATAATTGGCCTCTGAATCTCTGTCTAGTTTAGTTCATGACTGTGTTGGTTTATCTTCTTGGTTCTTTCGGTAAAGTCACGTAGAATGGAAATAATAAAATAATACAAATAAAACATAATAAAATAATTCTCACGACGTTTCGGCCACAACGCAAGCAGCCGTCCTCAGGTGAAGAACAGGTCTGTCGAGAAGACAGAGTCTGAATGACAACCCCAGGCTTGGAGCGTCTTTTTTAAGCTGGGTTATTGGTTTAGTTGGAATTAATTGTACCATTGATGATGGTCAATTAACAACGCACGGAGGGTAAAGTGGTGCAGCACTGACAATGCTTGTTCGTACCACCGCTGGTGGAAAGCCCTCCCAACTCTTACGCAGGGTTCGGCAAAACCAAAATAACAAGGAGAGGCATTTATCTTTTGAATTCGGTAACAAACAAAAAATCCACCAAAATTTTCAAGAGCCGCAATGCACTGTGTGGTCAACACGAGACGGGGTGGGTCCTTCATAAAGAACGTGTCACGAAGCAGGCAATTGAAGAGCTGCAGGTTGTCGACCCATGAACTCGAGAGGATGCTCTGGAGAAGGCCCCCTCTTCAGGGTTCATTCTGGCCTCCTTTGATGAATGCGTCTTTGAAAGAGATGATAGACCTCACATTTTACCCCACAACCATACTCGATGTGCCGACTGCTCAACCGTTGTTGTACCCATTTATACCGCTGGGTGATCACGGTTTGACCTGGGGCATTCAATAATATTTACCCATTATTTCAACTGCAACGCCGGGGAATTGAACTGGATTATTTTTGTAAGTCCAGCTTGCGAACCATTGCACCAACGTCCACAATATCGAAGTGTGCTTTGAATCAAATGCCTTTTTTAAGTCTGGCGTCTTTTTATACTCTTTTGGAATATACATATCAATCATCAACCACGCTGCTGCAAAAACTGCAGAACTCGTTTGAAAAAGAGCCATGAGACTCACTCAGGCTTTCATGGCTTAACAGGCGTAATAATAACGAACTGTAATACATAACATTTTTGAGCTTGGTCATGTGAATCATAACATACTCTGTGAAAACCTAAACCGCATTCTGCACTCCCGAGTGGCTGCATAGCTGCAAATTCTTTTGTGCGGTAAAAGCGAACGAGTCTGAAGTTCTGGGTTGTGCCTGTCTGCACAGGCAGTCAGTCCTCTGTCATTTCACGGCATGCCAATGTTGACGGTGCTTTTATACCGTGGGAATGCGATAAATATTAACCACATTACTTTGGCCATTCTCTTTTACAACCTCGTGAATGTATGCAGCTTGTAAGCGTAAATTGTGTAACCGTCTGTGCGGTCGTGGGGCATTTTCGTGACTGAAAGAAACTTCGGCATACGTGTACATTGATGGTAACAGTCTTCATGACTGGATGTCTGAAGCCACCGGTTGAGCTTTATTGGACTGCATTGGCTTTCGCGACCAATATCCATAATAGAGGGGTTTTTTTTGTTAGACCGCGTAAATATATAAATGTGTTGTTGAAACCAGCCAGATTTGTGATCTGTCTGTCGCCTGATGAAGCTAGTTGTAATTACTGGCGAAACCTCATGGGACCTCCTTTGCCAGTGTCAAAATATAAGAATAGGTTTTCCACTTTTTTCTGGCAACAAAACAGGTGTTAAGATGTTAAAACACCAAACTGAAACCTTTTGCAAAGAATCACGTCTGCATTAACCACAGATACTTGTGGTGAAAATACAAACAAAAAACATGCTCTGACAGTATGTGCATCGTCTTTGAAACTGATTGGTCCACACCAGAGACAGCTTTCTTTAGAGCCTCGTCTTAAACAGTGTTACGCCAGAGGACGCCTTCTTTGTCACTTGCAAAGGAGGTCCCATGATGTAGCTGCTCACCCCGAGCTCTCATTGTTCTAACAGTGGCGTTGTCTTTGTGCTGTTCGCCTTTTGGCGTCCTCTGGTCCAACACCGTTTGAGACGAGGCTCTAAAGAAAGCTGTCTCTGGTGTGGACCAATCAGTTTCAAAGACAATGCATATACTGTCAGAGCATGTTTTTTTTGTATTTTCACCACAAGCATCGTGGTTAATGCAGACATGATTCCTTGCAAAAGGTTTCAGTTTGGTGTTTTAACATTTTAACACCTGTTTTGTTGCCAGAAAAAAAGGGAAACTATATTCGTATACTGACGAAACGTTGTACTCGGAAAGTAAATGTTGTGGCTTGGCTCTCCAACACACAGGTGTGTTGTACTTGTGACGAATTGGCACGTTCTGTTTACGTGACAATCCTTACTAGTCGGCTGTGTCGTGTGGTGGCGGGTTTTAACGACACATTTATATATTTACGCGATCTAACCCAAAATAACTTCTTAAGGACTACATTGATCAGTACATTGGTACCTATACATTATATCTTTGTAAACGTGAAAATCTTGTGGGGGTGGTGGAGGGGTGGGGGGTGGTGAAGGGTTAAATTATAAACTAAAAAATTGTCATAAAACTACCACGTGGCCCAACGAATCAAGGTTCAAAGAGTTGGCTTGGGTGTTGCGGCCAGAACGACTTCGTCCATGCTGACACAGTCATCTTGATCCCCACACCTCCGTCTAGCGCGGCAGGCTACCTACGGTGCGAAAGAAGTTCAACGTCCTCATTTTTAAATCCTTTATATTAAGTTCGCTTGCTCGCTTAGGACCGTGCAAATCTTTCGGTCGTTTTTTAACCCACTTCTCCGTGATCCAATCGAGCTGACATTTTCCACACAGACTCGTTGTGCGTGACAATTAATGTTCGCGAACATTTTTTTCCAAAATTTTACACTTTTTAGGACAAAAATATTACATGTAATTGCCAATTGCTTAATGGTGGCAGGCAATCATCTGACCCATAGGTGGCAGCCATCTCAAGCCAGAGGACGAGAGCACTCTCGCCGCCATGCATATAAAGGATTTATAGTGAAAAACTTTGTTGTTACGGGTTAATTTTTATCTTCTCGACCTTCTCAATGCAGGGCGGCCCGATGGACCTTTCTCCGGAAACCGTCGGGGCGTCGGGGCGCGTCCTGCAGCCGTTCGCACACCTCGTGGGGGGCCACGCGTGCGTCCTCCGCTTCAACGACGCCACCATCTGCAAGCCGCTGCTCCAGCGCGAGCACCAGGTGTACGAGAGCCTGCCGCCCGACATCGCACGCTTTGCGCCGCAGTACAAAGGTGAGGCGTTGGGGGGGGGGCTACTGTGGTCGGGCTTTGCCTGTACTCGTCGGATTCACCGCACGACAAAAAGGGGCTCGGAGGCTTGACGTTCGTCGCGGGCTGGCGATGGCACTTGATGCGATGCGGCTCGGACGTGGTGCAGCCTATCCTCGAAATAACGTGGGGCAGATGTGCCCTTGTTCGGAATAGAACTGTGATGTTTTTTTTTTTTTTGGGGAGACCCGTGAGAATTTGGTTAAAGTTGGAAAACCACGGTGCCGAAGCTCGGACCGTTGTTGTTCGCTACGTCTCCCTCCACCTCTCAGCTGTAACGTCATTTGCCAAGCAGTCCCAAATGTAGAATTGTGAAGTTAACCGCTGTAGCATTGGAATAAATGTTTTAAAATTGGCTTATCATTTTCGGTGGTTTCAGTGGCATCTTCTATCTTTTGCATTTTATATATTTCTAATCTAATAAATTCTGGTGACAGGAAATTTGCAATTATAAGGGTAGAGGGCGTTCTTTATGTTGTAAAATAACGTTCTCCAAGATGACTGACTGTTTTGATTGTTATTGCAATGTCAACAGGGTTTGTAGCTCAACTGCCACCAATGGAATGTCAGCATTGTACACCCCAACACCGCTGGCACTTAATAACGGAGCAAAACATAGAGGCGATATCCAGTTGGACGTCTTTAACCATTGAACTCTTTTTATCAGTCACTTCCAGTTGCGATGTGCACCTGGTAATCGACTGAAATAATATAGGCAAACAGCTTCTAGGCACAAATATATGAGACGCGTGGCCGAGAACCCCCGCCCCTCCTCCCCGTGCGCTTCGGGAGGACACACCTCGCACGGAGCTTCTCGATTGAAAACTCATTTCATTCGATCTGCTCTTTGGATTTTAGTTTACTGTCCTTCCCTCGCACCTGAAATTAGCACGGGTGGCTACGTAGGGTGTGAAAGAAGTTCTAACGCGGTGCTTTTATAGCCCCGAGAACAAATGACTCGGTCCGGTCCGGCCGTTCGCGTAACTGGTGCCAAGCCACCCCCAGCTCCACTTGCTGCTACCCTGTTGTTGATGTAAGCCACTGAAGGTGAGTCATGCCGAACTGACAAGGTTTATGGAACTTTTTAGAAAACCAATTTCTTATCTCCGAGCTGATATCGCTTGTCTCCCAGCAAGCCCCGATCTCTCGCACCAACATCCCCAGGCAGCACAAAGCCCGCAAATGCCACTCCGGTGCCATGGGTGGCACAAGGGGAGTCACCATCTGCGACGTATTATGTTGGGAAGCCACTGGAGCCATGCACTTTTAAATATAGATTTAAAATATAGATTTAAAAGTGGAAAGTTCAGTTTGTTTTTCATCCCCCACACCTCGAGCTAACACGGTTGGCTACGTACCGTGCAAAAAAAGTTCAACATACGTCCACACGCGTGTTTTGCTTTGCGGATTGTTAAGCATTCTGCAGCGGCCACATGTACCCATTCCACACAACACGCAATATCGATGCGTGTATTGTGAGCTTTGAGAACTGATGTTTATTGATGCAACATGACACCTCGACAGCTGTAAATACCTTTCACCTTACCGTGCTCGTCTTGATTGCTTGTAGTGTGATGTGGATGTTCTGCCCTCGAATGGGGCCCGGTAATTAGTGTGGGGTGTACTTGCTGATAACGTCCGATAGTCCAGTCGCATATCGTTTTACGAGCCTGCCTCTGCTGACAATATCCTGAAGGTTGAAACGAATTCGGAGCTTTTGTGTGCTTTGACAAAATGCTGCTTGAAAATGTTGGTCTCCAAAACCATTAAGTTGACAAACTAAAGACACATTTTTAAATGCAGGGACACATAATGGAGTGCTGAGTATATTTGCTAGCACCCTCTATAAGAGGTCATTTCCTTCTTGCATGCTCGCTCTGTAAAGCAGCATCACCATCTGTGGCCAGTGGATACACATGTTTCAATTAAGGTGTCGTCCGTTTTTTGAATGATTAATGAACGGCAGTTTACGCGACCGCATACGCTTGAAATACTGGGGAAAAAATGTATGTAGCTGTATTTTTTGTTTCACTAATGAGCTTCGGTGATAATTATCAAGCACACGCAAACAGAAAGAAGCATTTGAACAAAAGTAGCAACGTTGGCCCCACATTGCATGACCAAACTGTTTGTAATACAGACCATTTACAGAAGTGGCTGCACATGAAGAGAAATGTAAATATTCGAGACACTCGATTCAGAACACCCTACACCTCAAGACATGGAATCCTACCTGCTGGAAATAGTCCTCCCCATCTCCCTCCTTCACTGAAGTCAGAATTAGATGGACTCGTCACTCTTCAAGATCTCATGGAAGCTCTTAAAGAGCTTACACCTGATAAAGCCCCAGGACCTGATGGTAGGACTATGGAATTATTCAAGAAGATTGGGACCCACATCCTGTCCCACCTACTAAACACTCTGAATGAGGCAGAACTGCAGGGAAAGTTGCCAGACTCCATGAGGGAAGCCAGAATTAGTGATCCACGAGCCAGGAGGATGTAGCCAGCTATAGACAAATCTCCCTATTCAATGCTGATTATAAAATATATGCAAAGGTGCTTGGAAAAGGCCCTGCCGAGCATCATTGGGGAAGCCCAGACTGGCTTTATCAGGGGGAACGATTCCGCAGATAACATCCGGACCCTCGTCAATGCTGTTGATATCGCCACAAAATAAAGAAAACGAGATTACTCCATTGCCCTGGATGGCGAAAAAGCATTCGACAGCGTAGAATGGAAGTTCCTGTTGAGCACCATGGAAGAAATAGGAATACACCGGCCCTTTTCCTCAAGTGGTGCCAGCTATTGTACTCGGACCCCCTGCGCAATGGTCTCCACCAACGGAATCGTTTCATGAAGGTTGACGCTCGCGCGTGGAACTCAGCGGGTCTGCCCCTTATCCCCGCTCCTGTTTGCGATATCCATAGAGGCCTAGAGAGCAAAGGGCTGCGCTACGGGGATCGAGAGAATAAGAGAAATCTCTATGCAGACGATGTACTATTAATCATCACCGAGCCCGAAACCTCAATCCCGGCCCTCCTGAAGGAGCTTAAGGAATATGGAGAAGTGGCAGGATGTAAGCTAAATGTAAACAAACCAGAAATAATGCCCATCTCCCCAGACTTCCCGGCCCTCCCAATTGCATTGACCCCCTTCAAATGGTGCCCTCAGAGGATTAAATATCTCGGAGTCTTCAATCCGAGTCGGCTGAGTGAGCTTTTTTAAGGTGAACTTCCCCAATCCACTCCAAGAGATCTAAACTTCCCTGGAAGTGTGCAATATCCCATTGTCTCTTCCTGACAGGGTGCACTCGATTAAAATGTTGATCCTCCCAAAGATGTTGTACCACCTGAGAATGATTCCAACCCGGATCCCACAAACCTTTCCCCCCAGAAATTACACTCCAACATTTCCTCTTTCATCTGAAATTGCAAAGCCGCGAGAATAAGTTAGACCCCTACCCAGACGAGGAGTGAGAGAGGACTTGCTCTATCCGCCTTGGGAAAATACTACTACCTCACAGCTGGCAGGTATGCCACGAAGCATTGGATCTCGGAGGAGAGGGACGGAGTGTGGAAATCTTGGGAAGAGGCCTCAGTCTCGTCATGGAATCTGGAAGGTCTCGCTCACTCGCGCACCCGCAGGATAAGCCCTTGAGCATAAAGCCGCTAGAGATGGTCAATACTACGCTGTGGATGTGCATAAACAGAATCACCCAAATCCTGAGGGGACTCCAATCCTACTTGCCACTTTGGAATAATCCGGCACTGCAAGTTGAAAACAAGAGAATCAGATGGTCTGATTGGAAAGTGGCCCAGATTCATATAGTCGGGGACCTTATGGCAGATAATGGCCACATTGACACATTACAATCTATTAGATAAATACCTCCAGGTTCGGGAAGTGATCACCAGCGCCAGAGGAAGAGATCTAATACCACCCCCTCCTGGGGTAATAAAATGGCTTCAGTCAGTGTGGCATACCGGCTTCTGCTCTCAGGGACGAACAGTGGATGACCTCAGACCCTAGCGCTATGGGAGCAAATAGTAAATCGGCCAATCTCCAACAAGACATGAACCCAGATTTGGAATTCCACTTCCCAAGGGGTCAGATCCCTCCCCCTGAGAACTATCCAATTCAAATTTCTACACGGAGCCTAAGCGACCAATCAGAGGAGGGCCAAGTTTGGTGTAGCCTCATCTCCGGAAGGCCCGAGGTGCCCCTTGGGTGTAACACGCGATTACAAACATGCTTTCTGGTCATATCCGACTATTGATGAGTTATATGAAAATATAATGGGGGTATTCAATACGATGAACAATACATCTGTAAAAAATAAGTGTAGAAACTACGCTGTGGGGCCTAAGAGAAGTGGGACTGACTCAATAGCAGAACATTTTGTTAAGGACTCTCAATGTAGCAGCCAGAAAAACCATATTGAGTACGTGGCAGAATCAGGGACCCCCCTCCCATACTCAATGGTTGTATTCATTAGGGCCCAATCTCAGCATTGGAGCATCTGACCTATAAGCTCAGAGACAAGGAAGAAGAATACACCACGTGCATGGGTTCCATTGCTAAACATTAGAACACTCTTACATACCCGACCTGGCACCCCCCCCTCTCCCCCAAAGAAAATATCTCCCCCACCTGCTCTGATGAGTCCGGATTGCCTAATACCGTCGATACAAACTGGTAATGCCATCCAGAATGTCAGGATGTTGCAATGTGTGATGTGGGGGAGTGTGTGGAATAAACAAATATTTGTCTTTATATACTAAACAAATAATTGAGACATTCACCCCCACCCTCTGATAGTGTTTTGTATTTTAAAAAAAAATTTGCTTTTGCTGCGGTCTGACGAAGCATTTGAACTCATAACGACCTACTGTACTAAACTATGGTGGTGGTGGTCGTGATGCCGTCATGTGGCCTTGCAATCCCAAAAAAATCCGCGGGCGC